ATAACATTATCATAAATTTAGTTGAACCGCGGCGAAATCTCCTAGGAAGTGACGCGCTTCGAAACACGGGATGATAGTTACGGCGATGCCAGGTACGCGCTCTCCCGTTGTTTGCTGTTATAGTTACTCGTGATGGGCGGACGCGGCGACCGGAATGCTCGATTACATTCATACATTAATTATATGAATTATACATTAATTGAATTACGGAGCAATCGTAACTGTCTAATGCAACGCATTTATCGCGCGCGTCACGTTTTGACGCCGCGCCGTTGCGAGAAATTATGCACGCCGGAGTTTTCATATCGCGACTCTGCAGCCTGCCGTCGTCGTCGCGCTCACGCACAGATTGGTTTCGCGTGCTCGATTACACTTTAACCGAGTTTTTGTCAAAAGCGCGAGCGCGACGAATTAATGCAGATGCGTCCGCGCAAGTCAATACAGGCAAAAACTCCACGTGATTCACATCGTAAAATAGGGAAATAGGGAGCGTCGCGGGTTACGTAAATATCAAATCGTGCGGCGAACGGCAACGCGTTGATTGCGAGAGTAAAGTCAATATTATTCAGTTATAATGTACAAATATATATATAGAAATATGGGACACGTATTACACACAGTGATGTGAATTCCTGCGTATTTGAACGTCATATACGGCACGCCGAAGAAGCAAAGCGTAATGGAGCCTGTATAACAGATTTGCAATGCATATTTATATACATAGCCGTTACATATAATTTGTGCAGAATTTAAAACCGGTAGAATAAACATCGTTTTAAGCGGAAAATATCGGACGCACGTGCATAAACGTCGACCGCGGCACAGCGCACGAGTAGAGTCAATATTATTCAATTATATATAGAAGTACTATAAACGCGCGAGGTGTACCGAAATCTCCCAAAATTCGTTCATCATAAAATCATTTTTGGTCCGCTTTCCCAATTTCGCCAAATATATCCGTCACCGGCATCACGGTCGACGGCGAGAATGTCCCGAAAATGCAATGCTTCCACGCTATTATAATCAGTCCGACGGGGCTTTCCCGCGCTCGGTGGAAATTAACTCGTCTATATTTTCGCGGGTATGTTAAAACGCGCGATCGTACCGCGATGAAAAGGATAACGTGCGTGCGACAATTGAACGCTGTGACAACATTCTCATTCCGGTTAATGAGTTCGAAGCTTCAACTAAAGTCAGTCGCGGAGGTGACTCTTTAACTTAGAGCGGAGCTTTTGTAAAATTGGTGGCACTTTTATTTCTAAAATTTGACGGAATTCTTTCTTCGCAAACACACAAACTGCAGAATTGTAAGAGTTGCGGGCGCAACTGAAATTGTTGATCAAACTTTTGATTTTTAAAAACGAGTTGCTCACTTTTGAGTGGCATATGCGGGTCTCTGAAATTTCAGAGTTTGAATTATTTCTTCTGACTTTTTTTTTTTGTAAAATGAGTAAATAATTGAAAGTATTAGTATCGTTTTTTTCTCTCCATTTTTTGTGTTTTTAGATACCTTAATTAATGTTGTATTCACAAAATTATGCGAAAAAAATTTATTAAGAATATAAGAAATTTAAGAGAATTCGCATTAATAATTATGCCAATTTTTAATTATCATTATTTAAATAATTCAGGTACTAATATTATAAATTTTTTCTTATTTTTGTGTTTTTAAATACTTTAGACTAATAAAATTAATCAACATTATTTTTGTAAAGTTGTTTAAAGCTGGAAAATTTAAAAGAAAAATAAGAAATTCAAGAAAACTTGCGTAACTGTGCTGATTGTCTATTTATTTATTATTTAAATAATTAAGAATATCAGTATTATTAATTTTCTTTCTAGTTTTGTAGTTTTAAATATCTTAAACAAGTAGACGTAATTAACACTACATCTACAAAGTTGTTTGAGAAAAGTTTTAAAAAGAATAGAAATTTAAGAGAGAGTTGGCATCATTAACTTATCGATTTTTTCAACATCGTCATTTAAGAGTTATATAAACGCAATTTTTACATGTAACTTCTTGGGCGTAGTTGGTCGTGTTTCACATGTAAATTAACAAGAGAAAAATACGTCAGTATTTTAGCGCCGTTGACCACGACGACACGTAGCGCGTGTACGACTCTCGTCGATTGTCTCTGAATTCGTGTACTAGAGTTGCATTTTCGCAATTCCGCTAGTGCAGCCGGCCGCTCCGAAAATAAATCGGCAGACTGTCGCGTCGCGCCGGCACCTCTTTCCGTCTAACGAAACAACAATGTACCTTCCCTCGGTTTTACTTTTCGGTCGCCCGCAATAATAATCGCGCTCTCGCACCGGACCGGTGGCCACTCTATTCGAGCGCTTTGTCAGCGCAGACGCGCGTATATCTCGCGAACGCGGAGAAACGCGCTATGTCACATCGGTATGTGACCCGCGTTAAATTTGGAAGGTGCACTTGGGACGCGCGGCCATCACCGGTCCTCGACAAGCGGCACGCAAACCGATTGTGATGTCGCACCTTTCAAATGTCACGCGAGAAACCACGGTGACGGGATCAGTGACTGCGGGTTCGCGAGAACAAATTCTCCGGTCGAGCCGTTGGCGTTTGCGTTCGCATGCACAGTATCGGTCGGCGCGCACAGTATCGGTCGTTTCCGGGGGAAAAAACCCCAATAAAATTTCGGATAGACCGCAATGTATAAATAATTCCACCAATTAGGACGAATCGATGTATGCTTGTTCCGATCTGTCATTAACGTTAAATCTATTTCGGATTATTCTGTACGTATTTGTTATTTCTCGCTTTAAATAGAGAACTCGCATCTCTTATTCGGAGACTTGTGAGAAAATTAATTTGGAATGAGAGATGGAGAGAGAGAGAGAGAGAGAGAGAGCGGAATTTGAAAGTGACACAACATCTGAAATAGTTGTCAGCGTCACTAAAGATAGGATAAGAGGATCGTTACATCGTGTTATTCGACACTACATCGACGGGACGGAATAGTACATGGTTTGAAGTTCCCTTTATGTGACGCGCTTCGAAATTCCGGCGCAAACTTTAAGGCACGACAGAGAGACGTGTATGCGCAACGAGGATACTTTGAAAGTGGCGAGGCCGAAATGCCGGGGCGAAAATGTGATTTACGAGACAGAAGCGATTTATCGCCTTTCGTTCTGAGGTTGCATAATAGCGCGCCAGCCAATTCGAAGATAGAAGTTACTTATTCTCGCTCTCGTGTTCGGTGTATTTCGGTATTATATATTTTGCATTTGCTCGATCCCGAATAACACGCCGAGCAAAGGAACGATGCGTCGAATGAAAGCTGTAAAAGGCACGTTACGTTGCTTCAGGTTAAGTATACACTGTCCACCGTGATTACGATCTGTTTTCTCAGGGACCCACCTTCCGTTCTGGAAGGAAGGGACGAGAAGTGTACGGTTTTATGCGTAGCTGATGGAGAAACAATGCTAGAACATTAGAGTAGATGCGTGACTAACATATTGGTTTTGCTAATGCACGTGATAATGGACTCGGCGCGAGATAATCTTAGAGATGTAACGATATTGACACGCGGACACCATCTCGCGTGTTCTATTAATTAAACTGTGAGTTAATTAAATTACATCGATGTGCATCGAAAGTGTTACGATCTTTGGTACCGCCGATGAAAAATAAACTGCTCGCTTACCTATGAAATGCCATTACAAATCTACTCAATCTACTTCTCGCAATTGTAGTTTCTTCTTTGATCTAACGTGTTGCTGCGTCGCGCGATCGACCGCCCTCGATCTTCGCGCGCCGGAGCGATTCGCGCGAGAATAGGACTAACGATGCGTCGAGTCGTGATTAGTTTTCGAGAGGAGCGCGCCGACATCTAGAATTTTCTCCGCGATGTCGCAATTTATAAAGTTTACGGACGTCTTCCTCGGCGAATTGAATTCTGTTTGTCACGTGTTTGATCCGATATTCGCAGTTATCCGACCTCTATCGTCAACGCCATTTATCGCGAACGCTGCAGTTTGCTGAGTGACGGAAAAGATTTCGAAAATTCGATCTCGGGGCGCCGAAAGCGCGCTCTTTCTCTCTTTCTCTCTCCCTCGTTTTTCCTTTTTCCCTACTTTCTTGTTAAAGCCTGCTTATTGTCCGCACGAAAAGAATGCATAGGATATTTGCGCACATGGTAAGTGCGACACGTAGTAGTTTTGCGAAGTGGAAATGTATTAGGTAGAACATAATTGGGGCCGCTAATGCGCGCGCATGCATCCATTTGTCGTATTTTTCTTTTTCTTTTTTTTTCCTTTTAGTCCTTTCTCTCTCTCTCTCTCTTTCTCCCGCCCGTTCAATTTCTGCGTCTCATTTCTCGGAATGCCCCTTCGTCGTTAACCCGTTTACCTTAATGTTAGATAAAAGTGTGCTTGTTCCACGGTGCTATTCGATTCGTAGACGTTGCCCGGGCACGCGCGTGTGAGAATGCAGCCGGTGTGTGGAACGCGGCACGACTTTGCGCGCTTTTATACGGGTCGGCCGATGCAGCTGCGATCGATCTGGACGTGTTCGCGATATACCCGGCGCGCGCGTTTAACACTGGCAATAGCGACCACCGCGAAAATGCACGCGAGCACTAACGCCGATTGCCGGCGTCGGAATCGCGCTGATAAGTCGACGACTTGCTTATCAATTGCCAATCGACCGCGCCGCCGGCTCTCTCTCTCTCTCTCTCTCTTTCTCTCTCGATATTACGGTGATTACCTGACGGACTTCATTACCGGTTGGCTTTCAATCCAAGTCGATCGTCGGTACTTCCCACGGGCATACACGCTGTCTATTCGCGCGAGAACTACCCGCGTGCAAAATCGGCGCGTGTACGAACGGTTGTTGTATGTATGTGTGTGCGTGTGCGCGTGTTGGTGTGTGTGTGTATTACGTGTATGTCTGCGTACGTCACGTACGTATATGCAAGATGTGTAAGCGCAAACGGAACAAAGCCACGTTAAGCTGGTTTGCGATTGGTGTGTTGCAGACACGAGGTGCCTGTCACCTCGGAGCCGATCACGGTGATACACATGGACGAGGACGTCGTCGTGGTCAACAAGCCCGCCTCCATCCCTGTAAGTGGTGTACTGCCAGAACTGTACTGCCCAAAAAAAAAAGAAAAGAACTGCTTTTGCCGTATTGCCTACGAGATGGAGCGCACACGTGTGTTACACGCGCACGCACGCACGTAGCGTAAATTCACGGCACCGCACAATTCTTTCGCATGAACGATAAAGCCGCCGTTCAGCCGAATCGCTTGAATCGGCTGCTCATTTTCACGTTCACGTTTCTATGATTTTAGAAACTCTCTTGTACACAGAATGTCTACTGTCCGATAAAACGGGAAAAGTCCGGCATTTCCGGGGAATTCTTTTCCGCTTGGAGAAATCAGGGCGGCACTCTCGCGCGGATTTTCATTGAAGATATTGAATTTTTGGTCTTGTGACCAAAGCGATCGATCAATTGCCCTTTTGTGCGTCTTTTCAACAATTTTCGAACTTAATATTTGCAATTTCAATCAACTTTCCTTTGTATACGAGTAGAAAATATTAAGAAGCAACGAGCGAATTTATTTTAAATTCGAACGTGCTCTATCGTTGCGTGAAAATTTTGAAAACGCCTACAAAATTAAGGAATTTTTTTTTTGATAATCCTCGGGAAAGTTTCAGTAGACATTTTGTTTACATACATAATCGCTTTTGCTAAAAATAGCTTAGGGCTATTTCCATCACCATTAACTTTAGAATTCCCATATTCTATTCTTTTGCATTCTTATCGATAAGGTTTTTTCGGATCGCTTTGTCTAAATGTGTACTCGAGTGTGTCCCTAAATTAAATCCGTCCGTCCGTGTCGACAAGCGGAGCGCGTACTTTCGCTTCTTCACCAGCGTCGGCCTTCTGATTTAGTTAACGAATCTTTTTTTTTTTCTTTTCTTTCGTCGCGTACAAGATGACTAAATCGCCGCTAACGAGTCGTTTTTCAGACGGCGACTGACAAAACAGCGCGGTTAACAGATGTGCGCCAAACGCCAAGAGCCTCTGACGAGCTTTGCCTTTTTAAAATGCAACGTTTCGACCCTCATCGACCTCGGTCTCTCCTGGTATTTCTGGATGCGAAACAATCGTGACCCAAAAAAAAAAAAAAAAGGCGGAAAAAAAGGGGGAAAAAAGGAAGAACAGTCGCGTATGCACGGCTCGCATAAACGTCCCGCAGCCGCGACGTCCAACGACAACTGCGAGCTGCGAATAAAACTTACTATTAAAAATGTTAATCGCGCGCATTATGCCGCTCACAAATCACGGATAATTTACTCCGCGCTATTATTGCGTCCGCGATAGTGTCGGCCTCCGCGAGCGTTGTAAAAACACGCATAAAGGACAGGAGTAACGCTTCGTGTAATGCAATTCCGCGAGTCCGATGCATTAAGCCATGTATCGGTGATTCATTGCCGCGGTTAGAGGCCTTTTTTCTTCTCTTTTATGTAGCTCATATTGCAGCGACACTGATCTCAATTATTCCGATCCACAATAATCGCAATAACAATGCGCGAGGACACGTGAGACGAAGCGCGAAGCCGCGGAAGAAGGAGGAAAATTTAAGAGAAGATATAAATAAAAGGAGGGAGAAAAATTGAAGAAGAGACCGATCTTGAAAGTTTAATGCTTTCCTCCCTATTTCGTTTTTTCTTTTTTTTATTTTTTTACGTCCTCCATTTCTCGTTTCGCTCTCGGGACCATTTGTTATTCAGCTGCAGCAGTGATTGCGAGTTTTATTCTCCTACAGCAATCGCGCGAGACTTCGCCCGGCGATAAATACGGCGAGAGAGCGCCGCGTGTAAATGCGGAGTATCGCCCCGGCTACTTTTCCTCTCAAATGTCACCGAATGCACGGCGCGCGTCGGCGGCGTTCCTCCCCCACGGGGAAGAGGAGATCGTTAACAAGAGCTTGCGCAACAAAACGCCGAGTATTAATGCAGAAATAATCCGATGTAGACCGAGCGCCTCGGCTGACTCGCGGGTCATGCGATGCGCGAGGACTTAATGGTCGCTTTCGCGTCCGTTCGGCTTTCTCGAGCATCTCTCTTTTTTTTGCTCCTGCCGAGAGGAAACCGGGAGATCTCCGGGGTCGCCTGACGATTGCCTGAATTAATTTTCGCGTGCAGACGTCGTTAAAACGTTGTGCAATCGGGCAGCGGCACGACTTTGTGCAATCTTTGTTTTCTCATCGTCGTTCACTACTACTTGCGTAAATTACACCGGATCGCAAAATTAATTAACTTGTCTGCATCATGCAAGAGCTTTGAGTTATTTTAACCCGGGAATGATCGCGTGGGAAGTCTTTCAGACCCCAGAAATCGCCGTAATAGTATATCGTTTAATATACTTATTCCGTGTTCTTGATGCAGTTTTTTTTTTTTATTTCTCTTTGTCTTTGAAAGAGATGATAAAAATATCTACATCCGTAATGTCCTCGACTACTACTGAAATGTGCATAGCTATCTATAATATACAACACATTTATTAACCGCAGGTTTTAAATAGAATTTAAAAATATCTCACGCGATCTTTTGCGCAAAGGAAAAAAAAAGAAACTACGCGACTGTTCTCGGGTCAATAATGCACATTACATAATTTTGTGAAATTAGCGTGATAGAAATATCAGAAAGACGTTAACAGAGAAATTCCGATTGCATTTTTGAATCCACCATAAAAATATTAAAGCTTGAGTTTTTTTCCGTTTATTTAAGTTTCTCAAAATTCATTGCACGACGCGAGAATGCGAGAAGTGTGAAATCCTTGAGTCGACAAGCAGAAAAATACCTTCAATTGTCGGATTATTGTAGCAGTCGATAGCCACCGTGCATTATTGTGCATACGTGCGCCCGCGGTGCTGATAGACGCGCGGGCTTATCGAGCCAGGAAGAGTCCGATACGATCGCAACCATCCAGTCGTTGCGCCCACAAATCCGCATTGTCGACCGGAATGTACAAAGCGTGCCGTTCCCGCGTTGTGCCGATTCGAAACGATGAATCGACCCTCCTTTGTAGGCGCGATTGCTTTTTGTCCCGAATTTGCCAGGAGAAATGGGTCAATTTTGACTTTCGCGTTACATACGCGTGTATACGCGCGCGTGTGTGTACGTACATCCAATTTACATTGGCCGCATGCCGGGTAGCCGCGGCTAGACATTCGTCAAATAGCGTACACTTCATAAATTTGCCGTCTACATTCCCGAGGATATTCTGGTTGCCCGGCGAAGAGTTAGACGCGGTTGAGCGCGGGAAGCCGCGATCAAAATAAGACCAAGCTGTGTAATTTCTTTTTTCAATGGGAAGAGAAGACGACACATTCATCGTTCGTTAATATTTACGCTACGATTGAGTTTCTGAAACCACGATAATCGTTAAAAGTCTCCTGAATCGGTGCATTTTGTGATTTTAATCATGTTGTATCGTGCAAAATTAGTATAGCGAAAAACGGACTCGTCGACCGCTCTTTAATTTTTATAATATTTATAAATGTTTTAAAAAATATTCTCTATACTCATCTAAGCCTTTCCTTTCCTTTTTTATATTCTATCAAATTGAAGAACATTTGAAAAGGCCGAATAATAGTCGAAACATTTTTTTTTTTTAAATTTATAGTCAACAGTTCTCTTGTACTTCGGCCGCTTCTGGTTTTCATTGTTTTTTCTATCTACTGTTGTTTCAGAAAGTCACTCGTGGCGTAAGTATTAACGAATGTGAAATACACGCCATCGCTGAAATTACTTCCTCTCCCTTATATTTATTTTCAGTACATTCAAGCTTTGGAGCGTATTATTGTTTAACGTTTTAGAGCATCGAACTTGACACGCTCCGCGGCGCGCTGATTTTGCATGACTTTCTATTCATGCTGCGAAGTTTATATGTTTCTAAGGTACGTTGCGCAAGATTATAATCGCGAATATGATGAAGAAGGAGATGTAACGTATAAGATGCATTGCGAAACAAACATATCGCGAGTAAAAAATATAAAAGTACTTGATTTCAAAGCGAGCTGAACGCGAAAAGGTCAGCGTCAGACCCGTGGAGCGTGTTAAGCGAATGAGCCGCGACGGAGATAAAAAGACTGTTTGACCGGTTTGTGGCGTTCGCAGGTGCATCCATGCGGTCGTTACCGGCACAACACCGTGGTCTTCATTCTGGCGAAGGAGTACAACCTGAAGAACCTGAGGACCATTCACAGGCTGGACCGGCTGACCAGCGGCATCCTGCTGTTCGGTAGAACGCCGAAGAAGGCGCGGCAGATGGAGCACCAAATAAGAAATCGACAGGTCGGTGTTGCGCAAGCACACGCATGCGCGCGAGCGAGCGAGCGCGCTGCTCAGTATGCGAGAAAAACATAGGCGCAGCTGGCGCGCAGCTCATCCGCCGCTGCAGCGAGAGGCGCAGAATTGGCCGTTGCAAGCGCCGTAGAGACGGGGCTTGTGTGTGTGTGTGTGTGTGCGTATGTGCATTGTCGCATTCCGTGTTTCAGGTTCACAAGCAATACGTGTGCCGGGTGGAGGGCGCGTTCCCGGAGGAGGAGGTGATCTGCTCGGAGCCGATCGAGGTCGTCTCCTACAAGATCGGCGTCTGCAAGGTCTCCGAGAAGGGCAAGGATTGCATCACGCGGTTCAAGCGGCTCAGCTACAACGGCAAGTCGTCCGTGGTGCTCTGCAAGCCGCAAACCGGACGCATGCACCAGATCCGCGTGCATCTGCAGTACCTCGGCTATCCGGTGGTGAACGATCCCCTCTACAATCATGTGGTCTTCGGTCCGCACAAAGGTAAGGGCGGCAACATCGGCAAGACCGACGAGGAGCTCGTCCGGGATCTCATCAGTATTCACAACGCCGAGAACTGGCTCGGTATGGACGGCGACTCCGATCTGAGCCTGTTCAAGCCGAAACTCGAGCTGGAGGAGCGCATGCTGGGCTCGGCCAATGATAAGGACGGCTCGCCGTCGTCTACTCCGGGCTTGGTCGAGGACGAGCAGCAACAGCAGCAGCAGCAGCAACAACAGCAGCAGCAACAGCAGCAGCAGCAGCAGCAACAGCAACAGCAGAAATCTCTCAAAGTCACTGTGGGAACGCAGACAGGCACGGAGCCGCCGGACTCTACTTTTGCCAACGACAAGGTCACCGTCGATCCGCACTGCTACGAGTGCAAAGTCAAGTACAGGGATCCAAAACCGTCGGATCTCGTGATGTATCTGCACGCGTGGCGTTACTGCGGTCCGGGATGGGAGTACGAGACGCCGCTGCCCGCGTGGGCGGCCAGCGACTGGACCGGCGACGATCGATAGTTCGAACGGCGCGATCGAGGGTGATCCGCACGAATTCCTCGGCGAGCCATCGCCATCGAATCTCGAACCCCCTTTTGATATCCTTACCCTGTGCCTTCCATCCGCCAACGAGCTATCTTGACCACGCAAGTATACATACGGATACACACACACACACACATATATATATACACACATGCACACACGTATACGCACGCACGCATGCACACACGTGGAAACACACACGGCGAATACTCGTCGACATACCCCTGCAACTCGGCCGTCGGACTTCTTGGGGCTGCGATCCGAGAGAAATGGGATTGCCGGAACAATTTCGTCGCTCGATTTGCATTTCTGCAAGCCGCGCAGCCGTGTCGATATGTAAGTGACAATCCGGCGTTATCGCCTGACGTTTCCGTCGAGCGGAAACAATTGTGACGGGGCGCCGTTTACGCGCGGTAAATGCATACTTCGCCCGCGCGCGCGACAAGTTCACCTGTTCGGCCGCGTTCCCGTTTCGTCATACATATTCTGGCAGTCTCGCGCGAGCAAATCCCACACACGCGGGCGATCTTACGCGGGAAAACGTTCCGAGACGACGTTATTATGCGAATTAATCATAGCGACAAAAGACAACGTTGTTACCAATCCTACTACTGTCCTAATACTGACCTAATTTTACGGAGCCAAATAATAAATCAGATCGTCATTATTGTTATTTTTAAGTTGCCGCTTATTCAGCACGCGTTCTAGGTTTCTCAACATATATTTCTCCCGAGCAAACCTGGGACATCTTGTATAGTTAGAGCCTCCGCACAAGCTTTTCTCCGTAACGCTTTACGTTACGTTAAGTACCGATCATAAGCCTAAACCCGTGCATAAATTTGAACTTCAGTCAACGCACAAAGAAAATCGTCGTAAAGCGTCGCAAAATCGACGCTCTCTTCTTACGTTACGTTTGTGCGTTGACTGAAGTTTAAGTTTATGTACGGGCTTAGGTTTATGATCAGTACTTAACGTAACGTAACGGAGTTACGGAGAAGCTTGTGCGGTGGCCTTTACGCAGCGCAACGTTACGTCGACGAGTAAGAGATGTCGCAATAAGATGTAATGATTGTTCCAACAATCATTTCTCTCTGTACAACAGCTGTCAGTCGCTCGATATGAAATTCATATGTCGCAGGACTTCGTTGTAGCTTCCAGCTAATATAATAATTCGTTTTTTTATATCACATATAAATAGATTGTAATATATATATATATATATATATAAGCAGACTGTGATTATTGCCATAATAATTACTGGTCGAAATATTTTTATGAAGAAGGCATGGCTGTATAGCGAGGTGACGATTTTATTCTTATTTGTAATATTATAAAAAAAAAATGTGGACGCACAATTGAATAATTCTTCAATTGTGAATCAAACAATTTGCATAAATGCAATTAGATTATGTATAGTACATAATCGAAAGAAATTGTATATTAATTCTAGAACATTTATATAATTCCCAGGAAATCTGAGAACATCCAGCCAGGATATAAAACAGCTTACTGTCTATTTTGTGTTGCAACTTTCGTTTAAACGCATTAATTCAGAACTCTTTCCTATCTTAAGAAAGGCGTGTTATTGAATAAAGAGTAGACAAAAATATAACTATTAGTGGCAAGAATATTTGCAGAAAATATTTTCGTGTGCATTTTCGGCAGAATATCTCTGGATGATCCAAGGTTAAAATCGTTTATGCAAATGCTTTAGTCGATTCGAAATACATATATCTTTGAAAAATACGCGAGAGTCTCGACTTTTAGGAGCGGTTGGTCAAAAAGTCACTGCCACTGGAGCGAGACATCTCTAATGTGTGAGGGAAGATTGATGCGTCTGTCGGGGGTGACACGCTGGATGCCGATGGATCGTATCGTTCATCTTGATTTATGACGTATAGAAAATCGCGCGGTTTCCTTTCTATTTTCTACGGCGCCGCCGCCGCGAATCGCCGACTTTTGCGCAACTGTTACTCCAATCTTGCGGTGCATTTCGATCTCAGAGAGAGAGATATATACTCGCTCGATCCATTTGTCAAAATTCCAGCGCCTCGTAGTAGCCAATGTCTTATCATCTGAAAATAAAATGGCAGCGTGGCGTCAATCGCGCCACGCGTGAGATGTGTGTCATCGCGGAATGCTGAACCTTGACGTTAAATCATCGCCGGTTTCGAATCCGATTCGAAATTGACTTTGGACGCGCGAAATGAACGGACGATATATCGATTATATCCGGCAGTAGTGTTGCTTTTGGCATCGATTCACTTTTAGGCACTTCGGCCTGACAGAGCTCAGCTTTAACTAGATAAATTTATCTCACGGTTCGACAGTATAGTTCTGGAACAATTTCAACGAAGCCCTGTGAGTCCCCCGTACTTTAACCGCTAGTGTGTTACCGCTAATATATCGTTGTGAAAGATTCCATAAATGTCGCGAATCGAACGAGGCGAATAAGTATTGTCTATTAAACGCTAGTAGAGGAACTCTTCGATGTGGTGTCGCGATTCACGATTGCCGCTTGCGAGTCAGTCGTCAGTTTTTTCACTGCGCCCAAGTTCGCCCAGTTCTCGAGGAATACCGGCACACACACACACGTGCTTTCTCGAAGCCGCGCGCATTACGCAAGCGATCGGCCATTTATTTCTTACCCGACGAGATAACCACATTCCCTCATTGAAGACAGCCCAGTTTCATTCACACCGCGCAGCAAACGCTCTCGCACGCGCTCTCGCACGCGCGCACGGTTTCGAGAATAGACTCCTTGAGATCGGGGCGATCGGGGAGAAGGAGGCGGAGAGTCCGTATCCTCCGGGAGCATCCGGTAGGGGATTGACGTGGCGGAAAACCGCGATAGAGGCGCGTCTATTTTTATGGCAGATATATCTAACCGGAGGAGGGTGGTGGTGGTGGTGGTGGCGATGGTATGCGGTGGCGCGGGTCCAGCGGCGGGGGTCACCAACAATAAGCGTGATCTTGCCCGGAAGACGGCCAACGATCATGCCAAAGTGCGAGTGACCAGCGAGCTTTCAATCATATCGTGCACAAGCGTACCTTTCCCCCCGCGCCGCGGAACGAGCTCGGGAAGAGAGAAGCGCGCGCCGGGGGATCGCCCGCGCGGTCGGCGACGAGGTGTTTCGTAATAAGTACAATCCAAGAGCGAGAGTAAGTCGCGAGATTAGTGACGTGCTGCAATTATTTTAATACGTAGGAGTCGCCGTTTTCGTCTCCGCGCGTCACGAACGACCGCGAAGGGCACGCCGAGCGTGTGTGTGTGTGTGTGTCTGTGTGCGTGTGTGTGTATGTGTGTGTGTACGTGTGTGCGCGCATCGTCAGGCTTCGCACGCAGAGCTGAGCTATGCGCGTCGCGACGATGCTCCGGTTGCTGCGAGCTGCTTGTCCCGTCTGCTCGCGGATCGTCGCGGCGGAACCGATTCGCTCGGGAACCACTGATATCCCCCGAGCGATTTCGTTTATCGATTCGATGGCAAAACCGCATCATCGCTGCGAGCGCTTGTCTCGCGTGACGTTGAAGAAGCTGCGGGCTGTGCACGAGGCCTGTTTTGCATCACACGCGGTGCGATAACAGGCGGGCGCAATGTGTGCACACGGGGTGGCAGACGGGGCAACCAAAGGCAACAAAACACGCTCCGCGTGTGACGCGGGTATTTTAGCTTGTACTTTAGCATCGAAGTCGTGAGCGGTGATGGGAAGTGATCCAGAGACGATTGCCGGGTTACAAACACGGCAAATGCATCGGATTATATATATATATATATATATATATATATATATCTTCCGATGAAATTATTGATTTCTTTATTTCTAACGTCATATCCGATATACATCGCTTTTCTAACGGGGCCAACTCACGTGCAACGTGTCTGGATATTTGCCGAGAGATAATGTTCGACGACAAGTGCTACGACCTATGATTGCATTACGGTGTATCATATCAACGATATGGATTCCGATGTATCACATCAACGGGGTTCAAATTGAATTTATACTGCCGCGTGGCGATACACGTTTCTGTCAATAAACAAGCAGTCTAATTATCCTTGCTTTGGATATATTTTTAGATTATATTGCAGTTTAAAGTGTAAGCTATTTAGAGACGATTCTCAGAACTCGGCGTAGTCATTAATTGAGTAGATTTCTTTTTAAGCGGGCGCTTGACGAGATCCAGACAGATCGTTGAAAAAAATTTCAGCTGCATATGTCAATCCTCAAACGTTATCATCCTACATCTATCGAAGTGCTTGAAGCCTCCTCATGAATACCGACTGCGGTATTCATAAAGAGATACATTAATGCCGAAAAATCTTCAAGGAATATGTCTGAGGTTAATATTGCGACTGAGACGTTTTCCAGTCTGGAATAAGCATTTGTGCTTGGAACAAATCGTCTTGCCAAACAAGCAATCTTGCCATCACTTCTCGCAACTCATGAATATAAGAAGCGAAATAAAGAAGAACATAATAGCGGTTGTGCGACAAAAGTAAATGGGTTTGGTAGATATATATATATATATATATATGTAAAAAAAATATATAGGTATATATATATCTACGTATATACATATATGTATACATAGGGAGAGAAAGAGAGAGAGAGAGATAGATAAGGGAGATAACGTAACAACGGACCTATTATAAAAGACAGTGTGTGTGCTTACTAACTCAACTGGAGTAGCTCGTCGCAGCGGGCTATCCCGAATGTAATGGCTAGCTTAAATCTATCATTTAAGTAACTAACGGTAATTCGGAGAAACCGCGAAAAAGACAGTTGCGATTTTAGCGGCGCTAAGAGAGAAAGAGCGAGCGAAAGAGAGAGAGAGAAAGCGAGAGAGGGAGAGGGAGAGCGAGAGAGAAAACGGAGCGAAAGGGGGAGGAGCGGACGTCGGTCTGTACAAGAGCGAGAGAGTATGCTTTTGTATATATGTATTGTACCGCACATTGTACCGTATCTAAAACCACATTATTATCTGTATTGTAGCGAATTCTTTTAGTGGATTCTCTTGTATGATGAACGAATAAATGTAAAGTATCGTTCGATAAAACCTGGTGGCGAAATATTTTCATCTAAAACGGCCGCGCCGCGCCGGGCGTACGTTTCGCTTCGGCGAGCATAAATATATCGCAGATCGTGTGCATGATTTATGGGAGAAAAACGGCCCCCGCTTCATTTCGGACACGCCGTGGCGCGTTCGGCAAAAATATTTTCCATTTATTTTATCGCTACTTGTATAATAACGCGCCACGAACGCCATTAGTATAACTCGTAGAGAGCAGAGCGGATGCGCTTTCGGCTTCCGTATAACGCGGGGTTTAACATAATTCCCACGAAAACCGCGTAACGGAGAGCACGCTATTTGCGTGGGAGAGCGCGGAAGGTAAATGTTAGTTTTATGGCTTTAAATAAACTCAATATTCAAAAGATAAATCGAATTTTGTTCCATCTCGTGCACTTGCAGTCTACTACTTCTTTCGAACGTCGTGTATTTCTTTTAGAAATTTAACGCCGACCTCTTTATTCTTACATCGCTATATTATATTTCATCCGAAATGCCGGCAAGATGGACCGTTCGCGAACCACATAGAATAAATTAGAACCCATCACTTTTTTTATTGTCTACCATCGAAGCAATCTAATATAGCGATTTCCCTCGCACTAGAAACTCGAGATACGATTTTACTGCTTTCCAGCGGCGAATGTAGGCGATTACGTGAAACTGTGCTTAAAATTTGCCGAGTTTACGCCTTCGCATAAACGTGTTATGACTTTTTTGGCTTAATTTCGTCTGACGTGCGATCTTCCTAAGGAATATCTGCTTGCTCTACGTATCAGGTATGCATACGAATATACGGCCAAGTTTTTTCCGTTATATTTCTTTTATTAATCGAACCACCGGGGCGGACAACAGCCCGAGTTCGACAGACAACGTTACATGGAAATCATGACTATCGTGTGTAAATTCCACTTATATACACAGAAAATAAATATAAAATCTTAATAGAGATTGTTCTAGTTATCTCTTTCTATTATATTTTATCTAGTCTCCAGTTTCAGGTCCTATCTTGCTCGACTCTTCAGCTGGATGTAGCTCGCTTCTGTTCTTTCATACGCGCTTCGATCTCGGGCCTGAAATGCCTGATTAATCCTTGCACAGGCCACGCGGCACCGTCCGCTAGAGCGCAGATCGTGTGCAATTCTATTTGTTTTGTGAGCTCCCACAGCATGTCTATTTCGTGCACTTCGGCGTTACCGTCCACGAATCTACGAGGGACATTGTGTGTTTGTATAGTAAGATAAACTATCACGTAAAAAAAAAAGTTAATTATAAATATACCCACCTTTTCAGTATTTTATACATCCAACTGATACCCTCGCGGCAAGGTGTGCACTGACCACAGGATTCATGCTTGTAGAAGCTTATTAAGCGGGTGATAGCTTTGATTATGTCCGTTTGCTTGTTCATCACGATTACCGCGGCTGTGCCGAACGAGCTCTGCACTCTGATGAGATCGTCAAAGTCCAGCAACACAGTGTCGCAAGCACTGAAAGACATTACGGACGACGTCACTCGAGGATCGCGATTGTTGAATTCCACCGAAATATAAAACAGAAAATTTGGAAACGTCGAACAAAACTTACCTCTTGGGAATGACAGGAGTGGAAGAGCCTCCAGGAATAACGCCCAATAAATTGTCCCATCCTCCAATCACACCGCCCGCATGCCTCTCGATCAGTTCCTTCAAAGGTATAGACATTTCTTCTTCCACTGTACACGGATTGTTCACATGTCCGGAAATATTGAAGAGCTTAGTTCCATGATTCCGTGGACGTCCAAATGAGGCAAACCATGTTCCACCTCGACGGCAAATTGTCTACATAGACAATATTACTGATAAATTACTATAAATATAAAATTTCAAATGATTTCTAAATATAGATAACACATACAGGTGCCACCGCTACAGTCTCGACGTTGGTGACAGTCGTGGGACAACCAAACACACCGACATCAGCCGGAAATGGTGGCTTTAGCCTCGGTTTGCCTTGTTTTCCTTCGATGGATTCGATAAGAGCCGTCTCCTCGCCGCAGATATATGCACCAGCGCCACGTTGCACAAAAATGTCAAAATCGTAGCCAGAACCACAAGAATTCTTTCCAATCAGACCAGCCTGATAAGCTTCGGCTATCGCAACTTGCATGTTGGATGCCTCGTTGTAAAACTCGCCACGTATGTAGATGTAAGCAGCACAGGCTCCCATAGCGCGGCCAGCAATCAGACAGCCTTCCACGAGCTTGTGCGGATCGTGGCGCAGAATCTCGCGATCCTTGCATGTTCCCGGTTCACCCTCGTCGGCGTTGACCACTAAATACTTGGGTCTACCATCAGACGGCTTGTTCATGAAGGACCATTTCATTCCTGAAGGGAAGCCAGCTCCACCGCGGCCTCTCAGGCCTGAAACCTTGATCTCATTGATAATCCAATCGGCACCTTTATCCAATATCTCCTTAGTTTTGTACCAGTCGCCACGGCTCATGGCACCCTTCAACCGCCAGTCATGCCTGCCATACAGATTCGTAAAGATGCGATCCTGATCGGCCAGGGGTGACCCTTTTTTCTATAAAGGAGAAGAAAAATTAATACTGATAATATAGATACCACTTGATACTGATTTTCTTTGTTTTAATTACACTTATGCATTTAACATGAAATAAGTACATTAGAATCAAAATAAAAAAGTAAGAGAGAAACATGATGCAGCTGAAGCAAACAGGCTTAGTGTTGAAGAAAAGACTTACCTTTCCCTCTGGAGCAGCATCGGCGAGCGTTCTCTGTTGCTGACTGGTCAAACTTGATCCGAGGAGACCTTAAATAGTGCAATTTATTTAATTACATAACCTCGTAGCGTAAAATATGTCGTGAGAAAAGTTAGCGCTTTTAGAAATATACGAGGAAACACTTGTTCACCGTTTCGTTGCTGAAACAATTCACGATTCCTGACAATGTATGTGCGTTAATGACAAATGAATGCTCGAAACTTACCTAATTGTCCCCTCGGAATCCGAAAACAACGCACTAAAGCTCCTGCCATTTTGCAGGATTAGATCTCGGTGGCGCAGCAGACAGCTGACTGAAAAATGTCTGAAAGCAGTAATATCGATTATCGGTATTTTTATGTAACAAATTAAATGTTGACATTTATATATTAATTATAAAATATAATTAAATCAAACATTAAATTTTAATGTTAAATATGCGATTAAATAAGAATGATATTCTTTTTCTTGTTTTTATGTTTAAAACATTGTGTTTCGAGATTTTTAAATGGTTACCTCGACATTTTTAAATGTCCTCTGTTACAATATTTTTTTCTTTTTCATTAATTCCAAAATTACCTTATTTTATTTACAGAAGGCGCAATGTAATGCAGCTGAAAAATTTAGTGTCACTAATTATCGCTATAGGAAAACCGCAGTGGCGAAATCTCGTAACGGAGCGTTCAACTGCATGTCGCCGCGATTGAATACGTGTACTTTGCTGTTTTGTCGTACAAAGTTCACGAATTGTCACTTGATGCGTACACTTGACGTACGCGAGTTGCGAATCGTCGTGATTCATTAAAAATTGTTCTGTGCGGTGATGGTCGATTAAACGAAGCGATGGGTCGCGAATGTGACGTATACGATTCTGGACAGTGCTGATTTCAGATTGCAGATTCTGCGAACCATCTGTTTTCGGCAACGAGAATCTGAAACGTGATCGTGAACCTGGATAACGTGATCTGTAACTCGCGGTATGCCTTCCAGGAGGAACAAAGGTGGCCTTTTGGCCAGAGTGAACTTTCCCCTTTATACCCTGCAAATGCTGACCAGCAGGCACATCCTGGTGGGTGGTGGGGGTGGCTCTTCTAAAACTGGAGTTGCTAATGGATTTGTAAGTTTAATAAATTCCTGTGAATTATATAAAATATTTCTCATTTTTCTGTAAAAATCTTTCTTGAATAAAACTGATGATTGCTCATGTCGTAGGAAATTTTTGAATTATCGCACAACGGAACTCATTTCATTGCTGAAGAAGTAACCCGGCATGAGACAGGTCCTAGTGTGGTCATGAATTGTGCTTCACACAACAATGGCAAGAAGACGTGGATAGTTGCTGGGCAGGAGAGTCATTGTCAACTGTATAGTGTCAATTCTAAAGTGGTGACTTTAGAGAATGGAGAATTAATCAAAGGATCAGCCGCGGGGACCAGCAAGGATGGTCTTAGACATAGAAGAAACAGTGAGAAAGTCGAGGAAACTCAGTCACAAAACGAAAGGCTAGAGGAAATCAAAGATGACAATTCTAATATTAAGAACAAGAAATTGCAATTAATTCTTAAACCTGCTGATAGTGTGCAGACAGCTTTCGGGTAAGATAGCTTACAACAGTTTGTTACACGAAATAGTATTACACTGATTTTTAATAAAACTAGAACACAACATTTTAACATTAATGTACATTTCATATCATATTATTTGGCTGGCCTAAAACTCTACTAAGATGCATTGCAGTAAAGTTCTAGATCTACCAAATGACATGATATAAGATTCTAAGGTATAAAAATGAATAAAATATATATTTTAACATTAGATAATTTCTTTGTTTAAAATATAAGATTTCAATGCATTGCAATTAAGAAAATGTGCTTTCTAATGTAGTCTACCAGTTTTTACAGTATAAAATTCCAATGTCTAATGAATAAAATGTACATTTTAGTATGCTAGGCTATTTCTAAAATGTAATATGCCCTTTTTAAGAGAAAAATCTTTTACTTGCAGCAACGGTGAGCCTTTACAAAGAGTTGTTAGAGTAAGCTTGCATGGGATGATTATGGCCACAGGTGGCACAGACGGTAACATTAGATTATGGAAGTTTCCACAACTGCACAAACTATTTGATCTCGAAGCTCATGGAAAGGAAATAGATGATCTGGACTTTAGTCCGGACAACAATCTGCTAGTGAGCATTGCTAAAGATGGAAAGGCTTTCTTATGGAACGTGAATAACGGCAAGCGAGACAAAGAGCTCACTTGGACACCGCCGGATGGTGTAAAGTACATGTATAAAAGGTGCCGGTTCAGAAAATTAACGGAGGATAAAACAAAGATCGATTTGTTTATACTTTCGAATGCTGTTGTGGCGAAGAATCTGAGCTTTCTCCAGTTGTGGGATGCTCACGTCGGGACCATTGCCAAATCCGCTCCCTACAAAGAGGCGCTATCAGCCCTGGCCGTTTCTGACGACGGGAAATTTGTAGCCGTCGGCACCATGTTTTCGGGCAGCGTCGATATATTTGTGGCGTTCAGTTTGAGAAAGGCGCTTCACGTTCCTGGAGCGCACAGCATGTTTGTGACCGGCTTGGAATTCTTACCAACGAAACTGGACGGTCCTGCAATCACCAGTAACACGGAGACCGCGGTCGTCAGTATCTCCGTCGACAACAGGATCTGCATACACAGTATACCATTTAGACGTAAGTATATTATTACCAAAAAACAAAAAAAAAATTGAGTATTGTTTTATGAAATTAAAAAAAATTAACAAATTTCTCTTTAACGTTTCAGATACACTGCCATTTTGGTTCGTCATCATACTGATAGTCTTATGCATAAGCGGCGCATTTATGCTCTGCAGCTATCTCGGCATATGACCCAGAAAATGCGCGACCGAGATGATAAAGCAGGATGTCTTCTCCTAATAATGTTAGATTGATAATTGTTGGCGCGTATAAGAGATCAAATTTAAACACAAAACCGAAATTTAACGCACGACTTTACTTCATACGAGTACTTCATATGTAAACGGTGAACGCTCAAGGACTTTACATACGCAAAACGAAGTAGAAGTATCCACGTAAAAGCGAGTGCACGGCATTTTGTCGACACGTAAATTGGCATTATGATAACAGAATGCACTGTAACTGTGAATATGCACAGCATTAGTGTGAAACTATTCCGGGATTGTTTAGTGATTAAGACCGTTCGCTGTCGAACGATAGTTGAATTCGTCGCTATACACACAGGCAGATCTTCAGGAAGCGACTTAGGTATAGGCATGACGCCAGTCATAGGTGCTACTGTGATAAATAAACTATGTTGCACCCATAGAGTGCTTCCAACAGATCGGTGCCGCACGACTAGCACATTGATGTACATAAATGTTTTATCAATTTTTAGCGCAATAGAAAGAATTTATCAGACGCGACTTTCTGTCGCGATTGTTCTGTTTCGGTATGAACACGCTTAAATGGTTTCGTTTACGGCGGTTTGAGATGTATGTTTCTCGTACAGCAGATTGTTCCCCCCCTTTTTTTTCTATAATCATCTGATTATCTCGTAACGCATTGCATTTATGTACTACTAATTTCTATGCTTTTCCTGGGTAGCTACTATGTTCCCATCGGAAACGTTTCCGATCAGATTAATTCTGTCTTTGCCAGTCCATTATCGACATTTGGATGGAAATTTCAAAAACGATCAATATAATTTCGACACTTTGCGAGCGAGCGGAAAGTCGATTCGTATTGAAATTAATATTGACATTCACGTGTTCAAGTAATCTTACTTTTAATTTCTTCAATAATTTGTAAAAAAATGACTTAAAATGAATTTTATATCACAATACTTAAACTTTAATGAAGTTGTTACAGTGACAAGTATAAAATATTCGTAATTTTTGTACTATAATTATATATATTATTTTGTGTGTTTATTTATTGTAAGTAAATTCCGATTCTATGCCGGTTTTAAAGAGACCTATTTATAACAGCTTAAAGACACGGAATCGCGATCGGAAATTCAAGTTTCCGATCAGAATTGTAAGGGTTACATAATAGCTTCCCTCTGGTTATATATTTCCGATCGTGCTTTCTTTGCGAGACATGACAAATGCTGAAATAAATATTTGTATCGATCGACGTTATATGATTAGCAGGAAGGTATTGCTGCATTTCACGCGAATCGTGCTCATAGATATTATTATTTATTTAGATTTTCTATAAACATATGAGAGTTCCAATTTTTTGTTATTTATTTTACCACGTAAAATATTCTGTTTGTATTATAAAATTTCGCTTGATAATATTAAAATTTATTCAAATATGTGTATGGAATTTTGTGCGCAGAAATCGTGCAATTTCTAAGCGTCGACCATTTAATCGATAATAAATACATAATTACATAATGATATAATCGTTATCTCATGAGTATTCTTGCCTTTTTCAGAGAGAGATCTCAGAGTTTGCCAAACACGTACAAGAGATAAGTGTGAAACAACACGTGTGTCTTGCTAAAACAATAAAATTGATCATGGCCTTGGAAATGGTGTATATTTCTTCATCCATGATAACTTGCGGCAAGCAAACGGAATGTCGTCCGAAATCGAAAGGGACCCTCGGGTGATAATTGACATTTTGCGACCTGCCTCACCAGTTTATTACCTTGCGGCAGTTTTTAAATATGACGGGAAAAGCGTGCAGCTGCTATGCGCAAGGAAAGAAAGTTTCGGTTTCTAATATCGGAAGAATTGGTCAGAAAAAATGGTACACTCGCACTTTTGCAGATTTATGCAAAATAAAAAAATTTTTTTTCTTTACTTTTATTGTCAAAATATCACTATAATCATAATACATAATTAGGGAAGAAATAACACATCAAAGCTCTTGGCATTGCGGTGTCAAAAATCTGAGCTTTATTTATAATAAATTTTTTAAAAAGCACTTGGGAGGACGCGATGGAACATTTACGGCTGTGGACAATGCACACTTCTTGAATGTGATGGAGTCTACATATTTGGTTCATTTATAATACATACAAGTAGGATGTGGGCTAAAGTAAGGTTTCTCTTCATTTTGTAATACATTAAACTTTGAAGATTGAAAGTATTAGCTGTACATAATCGAATCAGAATTTCAAGAGTCTGAACATTTTTAGTTCATGCAGTTTTAACGATCCACTTTGAAGCATCGCGATGAAATGCTAGTCAGCCTGTGAACTTATTTCGTCTGCTATTTGTGCTAGGAATATTGAGCAGGATCTTTAGAAAGTAGCACGTTATACTTGGGATGTAGAAAACTTGACAGAAATGGTACGCAACTTAACTTTCATGCAAGCCGAGAGAAAATATAACACCCATCTGCTTTTGGTACGTACATTTTTTTTATTCAGAAATATCTTAATGATGCTAAATATTATTTAGATTCTCTTCTCGCGCGTCGCTTAAATCGTAAGGAATACATGTTCAGAGAGGCACTGGATGGTAGCTTTTGTTTTCTTCATTTTATTAACCGATAAGCTCTATTATTGTTCCGTGTACACGCGCCTCTGGAAAATAATGAGGAGGGCAAGGATCCGGTGGTTATGTACAAGTGGGACGTCTCCGGGATCGTCTCGTTCTTGTCGAATGCCGATTTTTTCAAAGAGACATCGACGCAACGTCGCGAACGAGCTCGTTCCCATTTCGCGGGCGGAAAAGAGGAGCGACGTCCTGCTTTTCCCAATGCGAGTTTTATCGGCGCGACTGTGCGCGTTTTCCTCGTGAAATCGACCGTCCTCGCGGTCGCGAGCGGCGGTGCGCATTCACCGATCCTAATTTACATAAATAATAATAATAATAATAGTTGACACTCGAAGAAACCGGCCGCGACGCGTTCGCGGAACGTTTTCCCTCGAAAGCAGAAACACCTCGCTTCACTTGAACATCTTATGCGATCCAATCCCCGGTCAAGATGACACTTTCTAATTGCGTTGAGACGATTCCGAAATCTCGCCCGTGATCCCGCGCCACGATTGCTTTCTCCTTGCTGTCTTTCCGAGACGTCGTGCTCCCGGCACGTCGATTCACTGAGATCGACGGCGCGTGATTTCGGCGCGATCGCCCGTCGTCTCGCCAGACTCGCCAGGGAAACGATCTGGGAAATCGGATCGCGCGGCCGTTTGACGCAACGGCGTTTCTTCGCTCGCGGATCATCACTTTCTCGCGGAGAAACCGTCGCCGGTTGGGTCCAGCAGCCACGGATAGTTGTTGGGGCACTCCATGCAGGTGAAAAGACGCAGGGTCTCTCCGGGCAGTTCCCTGGTCGTCAGGGGGCAGGCGTTGGGCAGCGAGCAGTAGGGCAGACCCTTCTCATCGCAGGTTTCCTTCCAATCCTGGAAGTCCCTCAGCGCGGACAGCTCGGTGGGCTGTTGCATCCATTTAATCACCTGATTGGAAAAATTAAAAACGTGAAAAAAATATATAAAAAACAAAATATGAGACGCATTTGCAGTACAAATGCTTCTTGCGCGAATGCTTTTAAAATTACTAATAAGTACGTTGATTTTATTTTTATTTTCTGAAAAAAAAAATCAGAAAAATAAAGTAAATACATTAAGCGGCTTATCGTTACAGCGACAATCTTAAAGACTATTCACACGGCTGTATTTTTAGGCGAACCGACATCGTTTCTTACCTGAACCATGGTAACGAAGTACACGTCGCTTCTGGCGATCATCTCCTCGATGAACTTGATCAGCTCTTCCTTGTACTCCTTCTTGCTCTTCAGCCAGGACGCGTGGAAGTGTAGACCGAGCGGCGCCCTGTTGCTGTTGAAGTGCCTGTTGAAGTTGTGCCTGAGCAGCCGGGCGAACTGCTCGCCGGACTGGATGTTGGAGCACGAGTCGACCATGTGGCAGCCCGGCAGCGACTCGTCGAACGTCGGGTCGTCACGACGATCCAGCTCGTTCATCACCATCTCCCAGACCGGATGCGACCGTGACGGGCAGTTGCCGCCGTTGCCGTTGCACTTGTGCGGCATCCGGAAGTACAGGGTGTACGGCCAGATCGGCACGCGTCCCAAGGACGCCGTGATGGAGGCGTCGTACACGAAGAACTGATCCGCCATCATTTCGAACTGCTTGTTACCGCCGACGCGGAGGTAAGGGGCGCGCATGCCGATGATGGAGCCGTCGGTGATGTTGGCGAACCGCTCGATGATCAGCCGGGCGCCGGCCATCTCCGCCAGCCAGTCGTCGTACGTGCCCTGACTCCAGTACTGCGGGTCTTCCTTGTGCGTCAGCGAGAACACGGCGATCTCGTGGCCGCGCCGATGAAGGTCCTGCACGGCCGAGTAATTGGTGTACTTGTGCGAGACGAAGAAGGTGCCGCGGATCTGGCAGCCGTTCGGGTTTTGCCGCTGCCCGTTGAAGATCTCCTCGTAAAGATCGATGTTGTCGACGTTCACGGCGCCGTTGAAGGTGATTGTGATCATCTGCGGCACCTGCTGAGGCTCGATGTTGCCGGGAATGCGCGTGCCGTCGGCCGAGCAGTAGCAGTCGGGCAGGACGCATTGCTGCGGATCGCAATCGGGAGCGCGATTGGGATCGGTCTCCACGGCTGCAATACGTTCATATATTTGTTTAGAGACATCTTCATTTGCTTTTTATTTTTTTAATTGTAATTTCTAATTGGAATAATTGAGTAATTTCTTTGTTCAAGTAGCGGCATTAGAATCATGGAGCATCTCAATGTTTTTCGTTTTAATCGATGCTCCAAATCTGATCCTTTAAATTATTTTTAATTTAATTTTTTAGTCAATTAATGCTAATCTGTCTTTATTAGAGCGAGCAATTTCTTTATTTAAAGCAAGTATCGGAACCGTCTCGCTCGAGTGACGCTTTAAATCTAATGCTTTTAATTTAATTAATTAATTAATTAATGCTAATATATTTATTAGAATGAGCAATTTTCTTATTTAAAGCGCCAGTATTGAAACTAAACAACCTCAGTTTAACTGAAGCTGGAAATTTGATGCTTCAAATTACTTTTAATTTAATTGGATTTACCTAATTATAATATTTTTAGTAAAATGGAAAACTTTTTTATTTAAAACATTAAGATAATGGAATATCTTGTTTCAAATGACGTTTAAAATTATTTTTAATTAAATTCTAATTAATTAATTCTAATATTTTCATTAGAATGAATATTGGAGAAACGCGTTATAAATCTATTTGATTAAAATTAAAGCGTTGAGATCTGTCTTGACAACTATATATTATTCGACTTTACATCTATAATTTAAATCTGAAACTATCTTGCGCTAAGATATACGTCGCTCGATCGCAGCAGGCAAACGTAATACGTTGCGATACTTACTACAGGCGTTCTCGTCGGACTCGTCCTTGCAGTCGGGCTTGCCGTTACAGAAGAGCTCCTTGTCCACGCATTCGCCGTTACCGCACGACAGCTTTCCCTCCGGGCAGATGGGTTCGTCGGTCTTAAGAATCGGCAAGACCTTACGCGGCTCTGCAAAACGCAATTTACGTTAGATCGCCCGACACGCGAGCCCGCAAAATTTGCTACCGTTTAAGAGCTACTGACACAACGTTAGGAATCCATCAAATGTTCACAGGATGGCCATAGAATAAGTGGTGCAATGAACCGTGCATTACATTTTCAATCGATAGATGTAAATTGATTGATTAATCAATTTATTGGTAAATTAATTAGTCAGTCGATTTTTTATATACGAATTGTTTTATCAAAGCACAATTTTTTATTAAAGATAAGCATGTATAAATATATTTATTCAAGATTTCAAGTTTTACTATGTAAGAAAAGAATTATAAACAATCTGTATATTATTAGTTGTGCCGAGACAAATAGATCATTCCACAGTGGACATTTTATGGTCAGCCACTGAATATTGCATGTGATTCTCATCGCCGTCGGGAGCTCTGTATAAATCATATAAATATCTCTATGGGTGTAATCAAGGGTAATTAAAATTTTGCAACGGACCCCTTGTGGCCAGCTACCGAATATTGTATAAGATTTTTATTGCTGTTGGTGCTCTGCGCTATTAACATGATCAATTACAGGTGTAATCAAGGCCCGAGTGCCAATGTCGCCCATTTATTTACAACAATTAGCGCAGCAGCGTAGGAACCGTATGTCGCTCTACGTGAGAACTTGGAGAAAGTACAAATATGCAAAAACGAAACTGTTAAGCTGGTGCGGCCGTGCTGAATTAATTCGTGTCACCCAATTCCGCAGTATACCATGTCACCTTAGCAAACAGTAATCTCTACTCTGTGTGTGTACTTTTAACCGATAATTGCAAAGTATATATATATATTGAAAGATTTCGAGCTTTACACTGAGAAAAAAAGTTGTTAACATGATGATTAAACACGTTTGCTTAGCAATCACTTGTTTGGTTCAAACATTCCCGACAAACTCGTGTGATTTAGAACAATTAATTAATTGAAGCAATTGTACGGCCAATCTGAATCTGTGAACGATGCAGCTAATAAGTTGAATTAATTCAATATTATTTTAAGTACTAATTAAAATATAATTGCATCAAAAAATATTTTCCTCCTTTTTTCTCAGTGATTTTTCGAGAAAAAGAAACGCGCTTGTTCCTACGCTACTGACATCCAAATTGGTTTTTTTTTCTTTTTTTTTGATCCTCCATCGGAATGGCTTTTGTTTCGTCTCGTTTGTCGTCGGTTCTTTCGTTTATTCTTGTCTCCTCAGTTTATTTTCTTCTACACTTTCCGTTTGCGCACATTTCATCCGCGAGGGATATGCACGTCCTGCAAACCACTCTACTGGTTCTTGCAGGTGGCCTGTTTGTCTTTCGCTTGACGGCGACTCGAAGATAAACTTTAACTCGGCGTTTGTCTGCCTCGTTGACTGGCAGCGATGCACGCAAATCGTTATTCGTGTATATGAAAGAGAGAGAAAATGAGAATGTGTTGGTGCGAGCGAAATGGAGAAGAGTGAGAATAACTTTTAGGTAAATGAGTGTAATTAGAATGTGATGTGAAGCAGCATGGGTGTAAAGGAAATCGATTGTATTGTTGCGATGTCGAGTAACGCGATTTTCAGGATTAATCGGATAACGTTTCGTTATCGCTTCCTTAAAGCTCGAATTTTTCATTGTTAAAAGTTTGCGATACTATTAATATTTTGCATTTTGTTGCAATTTGTTAAGAATCAATAGCATTTTTAATTCAACTACTTTGAGAAAGTGTGCGACGCTATGTGTACCGATCGTGTGTCAACCGTGATAGATCGAGATTACATGAAGAGATGAATGGGAAAAAGTAGTTTCATGGCCATTTTTCATCGTTCTCCAATCGAGGATTATCAGCGAGAGGAGAGTCTTGCAGAAGAAGATTAATCGATCGGGCTAATTGCGCGTGAGATTTCAAGATTTCAGCAGTAAAAGCCGGCCGAGTAGCGGCGAGCTCCTATAAGGAGGCCAGATTGCCGAAGCGAAACCGATCTAGATGCAGAGAGAAAGATCGGCATACGAACACGTGCAACCTCGTGCCTGGAGCGAGTGTTAGGGGAAATGTTAGAAAAAGCATTGCGTGCGAATGTTAACTCGCGCGGATCGCAAGAGGAGAATCGTTACATTTGGAATTCACATCGGCGGTAGCAAGCACGTGATACACAAAATATATGTAGATCGCCGTTTGTTCCGTTTGTTATTTATCAATTTATTTTTCAGACAACTGTAATGACGGTGGCTTCAATTCATCTGATACGAAGCACGTGGCCAATGTAAATATAAAGTGAGAATGAGAACGCAGCGGTGCATTCAACGCTAAAGAAAACGGCATTTTGAAACATACCGGCGCAAAAAATCGCGATTATCGCTGATGTAGAAAGATTAGCAGCGCGCGCATTGCAAAACACGCGAGAGCCTACGCGCGTATTTGTACAAATATTGCTTTTTTTCTCCCGCTAAATTTGTATGGCAAAATTATTTACTTAATGCAATGTTTGTTTTCTTAACGATCGAATGCCGTCATTCAAAAGAGTAACTGCCTCGAGTCGGAAAATCAGATGTAACTAACTCACACACACGCGAAGGATATTTCGCTGCACCGCCGCTCGCGAGGGGATCGTGTCGTAACGCGGAAACGTAATGGTTTTCCGCGTATGCGGTGGCACGCGCAATTTAGCGTTAATGATTTGACAGCAGCCAAGTCTAATGAAAATCGAAATTGGACGAAACCAATCCATGTGTACATTCCGTTTGTCATTTAAATTTGCCGTAAAATTATAATAAATGGAAATTGCCTTTCGCGGTGAATGAGAGAAATTGCTCAAGTGATCGTAGATAATGAAGAATTTGATTAATATATTTATTAAATGCTTGACGACTCTAACTTTTCGAGTTACTCCGAGCAAATGACGGACAATTATATTGAAATCAAGGCAGAAGACCAGTTTCTCCAACTCCATTTGGAAAGCGCAGCATTGTTAGTCGTGCGCAGTGAGTCGTGGAAATTGCGCGAGAAAAAAATAGGGAGATAGTTTCGAGAATTCGAAACCAGGTTAGTCGTTCGGTGAGGCCCGACGTTTTCACGACCGTTGGCGTCTCTGAAGCGTTTTCGTTTCGTTTCCTTTCGCATATGCGATAAGGCCGACCTCGCTCGCACTTTCGCTGAAAATCGAAACCAGTCCCCAATCGGCTTGCTTCTCGAAGTCTCGGAACGAAAGTGGTCAAGCGAGAGACCGCGCGAGTGAGTAACGTCTCTCGAAAGTGCCGGGATCCGGGTGTTTTCGATCGTTAATCGCGCCGGTTGAAAGTACAAGTTCCCCCTCAATCTCGCGTCGAATCCCGTCGCTATGTTAATACGCGCTTTCCGGTTTAATGGCATCACGCATCGCTGGAAAGTTTCGCATAGTTGGCTTTTTCGATTTTTTTTTCGCCGTTTACGTAACGAAACCACGTAATATCTCGAAGCTCGATTGAGAAATAATTTCTTATCTATAATTAAGTAACGATCCTGTCGGAGCAAAGTTGACTAGACTTTTAGGAAGAAAAATCTATTTTCTACGATAATCGATAATTGAATGTATAACGCGTATTTTCCATCTCGATAAATCTTCAGAGACGCTCAGAGTCGCGGACGAGGTGTAAAGGGGTGGTGCGTGAAGACGATCCATGCGTTAGTTTCTAATGATACGAATGGTGCGTGCTACGTTGCGAGTCTACGAAGGAATCGGCGATCCGCCGGCGGAAAAACGACGGCGGCCGCCGACTCTTCGACTTACTCTCGAGCTTGTCACAGTTGGTGACTTTGCCCTTCCAATCGCAGGTCTGTTTGTCCAAGTCAAAGGCCAGTCCGCTCGGACACGTGATTTGCTTCAGGCCGGACCTTGTACACCTGGCGGAGCCCGGGACAGAAAACAAAAAAGGGTGCCTGCATGAGTCTAAGGAGGGAAGAAGGTAAGTAACGTTTGCTTACTCTCGAGCTGATCGCAGTTCTTCACGTTCGTCTTCCAGTCGCAAGTCTGCCGCTCGATGTCGAACGCGAGACCGGTCGGGCATTTCACCGTCGCCAGTCTGGTCACGCCGATTTCGGTGGCTTTGTCGCACCTAAGAATTATCATCCGCATGTCTATCGATCTCTCTCTCTCTCTCTCTCTCGCTCTCTTTCTCCCTTTCTGCGCGCACGTGTTCGCCTCGACGCGCAATCCCGGTGAAATAGTCAAGCCGCGGAGCACAATAAAGGAGAAACAATGCATTTACGGCAAATAAACGTAAGTACACATCGAGACATTATGAGCTCATACGTGCAAACCATTGTTGCAGCGTTAACTCGAGCCGGTTAATGCGGCGCTGTTCCTCCATTGTGCTCCGCATTAATATTATTATTAAGTTTTGATGACCGCGCTCGAATGAATTGTTCGCTACGCCCTGAATAAATGAAAGGATAGCTGCAACTGCCGCTGTTGAAATATAAACGGGAGCTATGCTGTGTTAATTATATAAGAAACATTAAATGGCGAGAGAAACTAAACTGGTCGCAGCGTTGCATCCACCGGATCGCCTTGGGGTCCTGGAAAACGGCATTTGATCGAAACACTTTTCGTCATCAATTACAATCTCCGTGGGCGATCAAACAGATGTCTATTTTCATCGATGCTGCCAGCATTTCGGACTGTACTTATTATCCTGTCAAAACCGGATGTCCTTGAGATTTACGTTCTCCGCATCGTGGCGTCGAATAAAGGATGCCGTAAAAAATGTAATACGTATCCCGCTTCTTGAGCGAGGAACGATTTGCGATTTTAGCGAAATCATCTCGAATGCACGAGTAATGGCGGGTGAACTAATTTGAAAGGTGATCGAAGCCGGCGCGACCCGGAGAAAGTACAGTCATTGATTAAATCTGCAATTATTTTCTAAACGTAACTAACGGAATCAGTGGAATAAGTCGGCGTACAAGGCGGAAGTGAGTCAGCGAGCGAGTTCGTTTTTTTTCGATTTAAATTCCGAATCAGGTTTTAATGGGAAACCTTGTTATCCCATTCACCCGCAATTACTGTGGATTAAACGCATTATATAAGGCAACGTTATTAACTATGTAAGGCGGACAAGTCACCAGCGTTCTCCCGCGTTCTTTTAAGACAAAGATCTCGAAAAACCTTGAGAAAAAAAAAAAAAAACAAGGCGCTCAAGGCTTCTTATTCCTTTCTGCGTGAAATAATAGAAATTTATGTCCTCGATCGTGCGCAGGTTGCCGCAGTAGCTCGTGCCGATCCTGTATTCGCGGATAGAATAATAAGGCGACTTACCTCACGACATCGCGACAGTCTCCTTCAACGCTCAAGCGAAAGTATTCATCGCCCGGCCTGTCCTGACAAAGTTCCTCGGCGTTCGGGCCGCTTTCGTCGTCGCCTTCGTCCTCTTGTGCTCTGACCCGTGTCCCTGCGTTCACAGGAGTACGATTTATTAATTAACGATACCCAGTTTCCACATCGTGACTAATCTAATTAGCTTCCTATGAAATTTATTTCAGCTTATTTGCGACCGTCATTTCATTAAATAATTATTACGATTATGTAATCAGAGGATAATTTTTGATAAATTTAGCCTACTAGAAATCAAAACATCTTATTCGTTCTAACTACGAAATGATTGAAGTTTTTTGAAATTCTTCTTCTGCATATTAAGACCAATCGATGCGATAAACGTGAGTTTTAATTAAAAGTGACGTCAAAGATTAAAAAGATTTTAGTTTCTCTTGTTTTTCAGATGATTGAAGTTTCGCGGAATTTTCTCCACTCGTATTTTCGTGCACGATGATGCAACCGACGCGTTCGCAAGGATTAGAATCGATCGGTGTGATTGAACAAAGTTTCAATCGAATGTGACATTTCGCGCGGGGACAAAGCGAAGGTAAATTCAATTAATCGTTGAAAATGTCACGATCGATTCACGACATAAGCGCGCACGATCAGAAATCGAAGTAGGGGTCGGTGAACTCCGGTAGAAGTAGAAAGTCTTGCAAATGTCAGGGCAACGGGGGGAAAAGCGACAGTGGTTCTCCAAAGTAGGTTCTATCTCTCCCTCTCTTTCGAAAATCTGCACGATCGCACAGATATTAATTTCAAATATATACTCTCATCTTCATTTACAATTCCAACTTTCCGGAATCCATCGGTGAAGCCCATTTCCCTTTATTGCATAACATTCGACCTGAATCGTCTCTCACAATCTTAAGATCAATTTCTTCCAGCTGCGTTGACGTGTCACAGCTTACTCTACCAACTTTGACGCACTCCATGCGAATTACAATTTTTAAATTAGAATTCCAACGCGTCAACGATCAACAAACGTTGCAATTCCAACAAATGAGAAAATCGACGCGAGAAACTTTCGTGTAAGCGATAAAATAGCGGATAAAATAAATTGCACTTACCGGCAAGCAGACACAGGGATCCTAGCAGGAATATTAACTTCGGCGACATCGTTGTCGTCGTCGTCGTCGTCGTCGTCGTCGTCAGGACAGAGAGCGTCTGGACAAGCCGCGCCCTCTCCGCCCCTCTATATGTGCACCACCACTCCTTCCCTCTTCATCGTGAGACTTTCACCTTCCGGATCGTGGTGCCATCTTTCACGAGGGTATCAGGAAAGCGGCAGGAGCGAGAAGTATGTCTTGTCGGGGAAGACGAAGAGCCGGGAAGAAATTGAGCCACATCATCACTGGACATTTAACCGTAAAAATGATCGCACGTGTGGATGTGATCGTTTATGCAATGTTCTAATAATAATTGTTGCGATAGCATTTAAGGTGATATTGCTAACTTCACGTGATTAAAACAAAAAGGATATCAACCGAGTATAATCTCTAAAAACTTGGCCTTTTCGATGTCGGTGCTAAATAATAGAAAGAAAAAGACATATGAAGATAAGAAAGATTAAAGAACACAGAAAATAACAAGTGAATACAGATTAAACGAGAAATAGAATGTAAAATTAATCGCTTCCAAGCGATTCAATTTCCATTCATTGTGTTACTACACAACATCCGGTGAATTTAACTGCAAAGATTATTAATGCGTGGGCGCAATCGCTTATAACGGTATAATGATAATTATTATTGCAATAGTTTATTTAGTGAGCTATTGCTAGCTTCGTCTAACTCAGACGAAATGGAATATAAATTGAGTATATAATCTCTAGAACGTTGATCAATTTATATCGGCGGCGAAAATAACAAAGTATAATAGAATGAATGTGAGACGGAATGCAGAATTGTTGCTCGCGAGCGATTCCATTCTCTTTTATTGTTGCGACGAATTTAGCAATAAAGATTATTACATGCGTGGGATTATTACGGAATTAACTGTGCACAATGTTATATTAATAATTATTATTGCGATTGCGTTTTCAGCGACCTTGTCAGCTTCGCTTGATTAGAATGAAAAAGGGCATGAATCGAGCTACAGCCTCCAAAACTTTGGCCAACTTTTGATGCGAAAAAGTAGCAAGAGAAAAAAAGAAGAAAATATAATGGATGGACGTAGGCTGAATGTGGGATGGAATGCAGAATTAATCGCTTGCACGCGGCTTCTATTTTCTACCTGACTCCCACCGGCCATTATTTATCCCTCATTCTTGTGCCGCAGACTTGTTCAACGCGACAGCCATTTTTAATCCGGTGGATTGCCGGTGATAGCGGCTCTTTCTTCGGACAGCATCGGGAATGCTGTGCAGTCGCATGGCCGAAGAGCCGAAATAAATAATGTGTTTTGTTAGCTCGAGAGTTAGGCGTCTTCAAACCCAGGAACCCCTTCATACGTGCGCCATCAATTATAACGAAAACAATTTCTCTGACGCAAGACGATTGGCTGTCGAACATTCAAGGTCCAAGCCGTGACTTTGCACACCGAGAAGTGAAAACGGGATTCTTTACGAAGTATTTTTTTATGACTCTCATGAAAACATCATGAGACCTGCGATATCCTGAATGCGCGGCCGCGAATGAAGCCTTGCACTCGTAAACCTGAGAAAGTGTCACTCCCGTTACTTTCATTGGCTCGGCGATTCAAGTGCCATTTAAAAGCACGGTATCGGAGAGAATAACATTCGAAGGAACTTGGATTTATATGGCGTTTAAAGTTCCGCTTCGGAAATGTCCGTGCGTGGAAAAAGAAGAAAGTTGTCTCGGGAAGGAAGGACATAATTTCGGGGCGTAGCGTTTCATTGCGTTGCAAAATGCGCTCTCCGCGATATAATTAGCCGCCTACTCGCATCCTGTGAAATTGTAAACGGTTCAATCCCTTTAAGTAACATAACCGTGAAATGAATCCTTCCGGAAGTAATATCATTTGCATGCGCAACGAGGCGTAAGCGAGTTTCGAGAGAGGCATTTGACCTTTCGCAAAATCCATTGCCGCGGCGCAGCCTCGAAAAAGCATTTTCTCGTATAACAATTGAGGAGAGAAAGAACGTTTCGACAGATCGGATTTCTGGAGTATCGCGTTCAACGCGATGAGAAGAGGGAGGAATGTTTCACCGATCGATACCACAATCCCTTGTTTCGCCATCCGATAAGAATCGTCGCGTTATTCTAACGGACGCATCCTTGAGGCTTTGCGAGGCGATGATGCGCTCGGCGGTCAATAAATTTGCAGTTTACGCGGAAAAGGTTACTCGCGTCGTTTGCGGGCGAAGTAACATCGCGATACGCATTCCATTATGCGAGGCATTTGCATCGCCATCGCCGAGGGAGAGAAGAGGGAGGGAGGGAGGGTGAAAGAGCGAGAGAGGGGAGGAGAGGACAATAACATTTATTCCAAATTCAAGTTGCGAGTACGTGTCGCAGTGCGTGATATAGCTGCGTAAATCTTGCTCAATGCCAGCAAATGAAAAAGTCGGAATTGTGGAAGTAGATTGCGGACGCCGTCGTAGATCACGACGTCACGAAAGTGCCGCGCAAGGGACTCTCAGTGCGGAAGATCTCGCTTCCTGCTTTGATAATTGCATAGCCGCGACACACATGCCTGGCTTGTCGCACGAGAATTGCACTTACGTAACGTCACTCGTCGCGTCAAGAATTTAGCCGCATCGCAGACACGCAATTATAACGCGACGATGAAATAAGAGCGACTTGCCGTTATGAAGGATTAAAAAAAATTCCCGCGTCACAATACGGAATCAGCGTTTGATCCTCCTGCACGGTACACATTTTCGCGTTACGGAATATGACGGCGGCAAGCCGGCACTAGTCAGCTTAGATCCTTTCCTCTTCGCGCGCGCGCGAGCGTGTACATTTCGGCAAGATTTTCCATCTCGCGGCACACGGGTGGACCCGGTGGCATTTCTGAATGCACGCTTGAGCCGAGAGTCCTTGGCGAGATGCACGAACCGAGAGATGCCGACGGCACCGTTCACCATACGATATAATAAATACGGAGAACCGCAGGAAACCAGTTTTCGTAGGTCGCGTAGGTTGCGTGTGCCGTCTCTCTGCCCCGCGTTCCGCTCCCTTCCTGCGCAATCTATGCCTCGTCGAAATGTTCTAGAAAAATCCGCAAAGGACGAAATCTTTGTACTTTTGTCTCGAGAAAGGACAGCGGAATGTTTACTCGACATTTCTTCTTCAGGACACACGCACACAACATCAGTCTCTTCGTATGAGATAACATTTCTCAGAAGCTCAAAGCAGTCTGAAATTTTCACGAAGATCAAAAAGAAAAAAAGCAGGATTTTTGCAAGGACTACTTTTAAATAGCAATATGTATTTATTGAACCACACAAACCACGAGGGGAAATAAATAAAAGTAGAAGCCAATACATAACCGATCAAGCATCTCATTGGGATATTGTTCGAACTCAACGAGAATGTTGCGCAGCTCTACAATAAATAATATCGAGTGCGTAGTATCGGTGTGCTATTTTTTTTTTTTCAACAATGGCACGCTTTTCGGTATGCTAAAAATCCGGTGACGGCATGTCACTTTCCAGCGGTGGTATGCTTTGATCCGAAAATCGAGCGACAGTATGTCATTTCATCGCACACTACTTCAAATCCGAACACTGATCCTTGTGATATCCGACCTCATCTTTTACTGACCGAGCGGAGCGACTGGCTGCCGAGTAAAAGTTGGCGGGTAAAAATGATCCGGCTGCTCGCAGAATACATATTCGCCGACGTGGCGCACTTCTAGGTCACGCCGCGGCACATCCATTAACTGTATACCGTCTGTTGCCTCGAATTTAAAGACCGTCGTTATTCCCGATACAGATTTTATTATTATTATCGCGCGCTTGCGGACTGCCAAATGGTTCTACGAATTTATAACTATAATATACAACCACCACTACGTTGTACTGAAAGCTTTCTGAAATTAAAAGAGTTTCTCTCTCTCCTTCTTCCTCTCATTTCGACGGCATACCATAAATACTATTTCGCCCGTGGCGTTCGGATGCCTGAAATTTATTATCGTGGTGTGCGGATAAGCAGTTGCAGCGAGAAAAGACGGGCGACGAGAGAGTTTCCATTATGTCGATCAGGACGGCCGCGGGGTCGCCTGTCGGCGATAAATGTCAATTGCCAATCGGCATTTCAAAGCGCGGGAAGCAGCCTCTTCTTTCTCAGGTGCCGTCGTCTCCGACGGTGCACTGACCTGCGGCTTTGCCTCATCATTTTTCCCCGGCTCTCTCCTTGAACTGCTGCGAATTTCTTGAACAGCCGTAAGCTCACCTTCGGCACTTCGGATGCCCCTAGGAAGGTCTGAACATATCGCTCGTTGATTGGAACGAACGGCTCTTGCCGCTTTTTATGCGCCAAGCTCGATTATCGCGTTACAAGAAACGGCGTAATTATCGCCGCAAATACATTATTTGCATTGCACGTATCAGTAAGAAATATGCAATCGATCTTACTAATCTTTGGAATTAATATGTACTATTAAATAATACTAAACAATTCTTTGGAGAAATTTTTCGTAAAAAATTATTTAGTCTCAAAATATGTTAAAAGTAACTGGATGGATCAGTCGTTTGAACAGTCGTCACGTCTCATTTTCCACAAATTAATGATTATATTTTTACTTTATTAATATCACATTCATGATTAATTTCTGTTTTAAATTGAAATTTTGCCGTTTTAAATCTAGCAAATATTTTAAAATCCAAAAATAAGCTAACATAAATATGTTGCAGCTTATCGTTATACTGATTTTGTTGGTTTGTTTTCTTTTCTGTAGTATCATATCTTTCTCAGAGTCATGACTTTTGACAACCTTTGATTACTTCCAACCTCCCAATCTTCCAATTTCTCGATTAATCTCATACGTACACGGTCAAAGTATTAACTTCCAAGGATGTTGACTTTTCACGCGATTCATTTATGTGACGTCAAACTTTCTCGTTTGTTAATCTTATTTTTCACCTTTGGATAATGAAAACTGAAATTTGATACGACACTGTCAACGTTCTACAAAAATTACCGAAAAAGAAAGAAAAATGCTTAAAGAAAATTTATGTCATCCGAGAAACCAGTGTTTTGCTTGAAGATTTTATGCTAAGGAAAACATCTTATCCAAGCCTTTTATTTTTTACGCGCAAGAGTTATTAACTTTCGCCCGGTGGAAATAATTTAGTAACGTGGACAGTATAAAATAAATAAGTTTTGATTCATTACATTTTTGTATATTTTTCACTTTTACAGATACAAAATCTCTAATATTCTTTAATGAAATATCTAATTTCAGTTTGTTACAGTTATATTTTAAAGAAGTATGTCGGTATTAAATTTGAGTTTCCAGTTTTCATCGTTTAAACGTTAAAGTTAAAATTAACTTAACAAACAAATTTAGCATTACAAGTTGCTCATGTTTGTAATTTTACTGTATTACAAGAGTCTCGCGAGTCCTTCGATAACCTCTAATTTATTCAATTAGTTTTTAAATTCATTAAGCTGTTCAAGTTTTACTCACTGGCACTCGCATAAATCAAAAAGTACTACGAGCGAAAGTTTGGCATAAAAATGCTCACGCGTTTTAAAATTAAATTTGATTTATTTTATTATTTTAAATTATTTAAAATTCAAATTTATTTGATCGTAAAATGCTCAAGTTCAATTTATTTTATCAACAATTTGCCGCGGCTAATTGGCCTTGTTTATACACATTGCCTTAACACATACTGTGTGTTTTTATTAGTCAATTGGATTCGAAAAGTCGACCAGCTCGAGATGCCGGAATAACTAGTGGACAATGACCTCTTCACGGTCAAGGTGAAAATCACGTCGTTCCCGGCGTGCGTCGATCATACAAACCTTCTTCCGCTACGTGATAGGAATTCAATCAATCAAGTCGTGCTTTGATCGATCATCTGACCTGGTTATTTCTACGTTTTAGCGACAGACAAAATAATCTGAGTTTCTTTTCCACAACATTTTTATATATCAGAAGAAATACGAAATTGCGCTCGTGTAATTGCATTAACCTTAAAAATTTTTTTCGAACATAACAAATTCAATTTTTGACTTAATAATTTAGAGCTCAATATGTCAGTTACAAAAATACAATAATGTGTGCGTGAAAGACGCGCAGATTTGTAATTTTATTATACGCGTCGTAAATAAAAAAAAAATAAAATATAACAAAATAAACGAATCGACCGTCGTACAAATGAAACAACAAACACGG